ATCCCATATATATATATATATATATATATATATATATATATATATATATATATATATATATATATATATATATATATATATATTATTGGATTAAAGTTGTATATATAAATATATAAATTTGGTGCATACTTATTGGATTGAAGCTGCAAATTTGAAAGACAACGCTTAAATTTTAAGTGATTATTTGTACAGGACGCTTAAAATATAAGCTGAATATATTAAAAAATCTGTGAATATTAGACAACTCTTTAAACAAAAAAGCGTTGCCTATATTGGGGAATAGAAAGCGCTTGTGAAATACAGAGCGCTGCCTAAAAGAGACTTTAGAAAGCGCTTTTAAAGAAAGCGCTGCCTAAAACATAAAAAAAAGTGACAAAAATGCATTACACAACGCTTTTAAAAGCGCTGTCTAAAGTGAAAGTGCTGCTATAAGCACACTTTAGAAAGAGCTTCTAATGTAAAAAGCGTCGCCTATAGGGGCCTTTAGAAAGCGCTTATTGAATAAAGTGTTGTCTAAAGGTTACATTAAGCAACGCTATCACATAGACAAAAAGCGTTGTCTTTACTTACAGCAACGCAGGAATAGGCAGCGCTTTTAAGCGCTGTCAATGGCAAAAAAAAACGTTGTTTATTCCCTTATATGGCATAGTGCCCATTCCTTACCATACCGAGCACACAAAATCCTATACCACAAACTTCTCGTCTCATTTAGAATCCTCCTTCAATATCCTAACTTCTAGACCTCCATTTTCATTTTTCATACAAATAGTATCCCAATTGATCCACAAAGTTTTTCTCACTCCCTCAACCCCCCCCCCCCAATGCATTAAAAATAGATTGAAAAGAAGATATGATACCTAAGGGTGCCTTAAAGAAGGAAATAAGGTATATCGAAATGGAAGACAAGATGAAAGTGACTATTCCACCCTAACAACCTTCTTTTAATCTAGTCAATCAGAGGATACGAAAAATTAGGCTTCCTAGAATCTCCACCAATAGGCAGTCCAAAATACAAAAAAGGTAGACGATTATGTTTACAGTTCACAAGCCTCGTTATCTCATGAAATCGAGATTCTGAGACGTTGACCCCAAACAACATGCTTTTATGAAACTTAACATTTAAACCTGAAATAGCTTTAAAAAGAATCAATATTGCCTTCAAAGCTCGAACAATAGCCAACTTTTAGTGCCAACCAATAGTGTATCATCAACAAATTATAAATGAGAAACAATAACAATATTTTGCGCCCCACCCCATTCCATATATACATTCCTTTTTCCTCTAAAGCATTCATCAAAACATGTAACATTCAACTGCTAATATAAAAAGAAAAATGGAAAGTAGGTCACCTTGACGAATATCCTTTCCAACTTAAACTCATCAGTTGGACTCCCGTTCATAGGCATAAAAGCATTTGTTGTAGTAACTCATTATAAGATCCACTTCCTCCATGGAGTCGGAAGCTTTATTTTACCCATAACATAATCCAAATACCGCCGGTCCTCCAATTCATAAGTTTTTTCAAAATCAACCTTGAATAATAATATTTCTTTTTTCAAACTCGACACATCATACACCATTTCATTAGCTATAAGGATGTCGTCCAGAATCTGCCTATCTTTAACAAAAATTGATTGAGACTCATAAATAACACTTCCAATCACCTGTCTCATCCTATTAGCAAGAACCTTAGATAGAACTTTATACAAGCAATTGACTGAAGAAATAAGTCTACAATTTGAAAAATGCTGGGGACTCTCAGCTTTTGAAATCAAAGCAATACAAGTACTGTTTATGCCTTTGGTCAACTTGCCATTATGGTGAAGTCAATAAAAAATGCATCAACTCGACTTTTAAGATGTCCCAAAAATCTTTTATAGAACCAAGATTAATTTCATCCAGTCCAGGACTCTAAAACAGTCACAATCCTAAACTGCGTGCTCAATCTCAAACTTTGAAAAAGATACCGTCAATACCAACTCCTCATTCGTAGTGATAAATTTAAAAGAAAGATCTTCTATCCCTAAACAATCAAACGATAATGACTGAAAGTGATTATGAAAATTATCAAAAACTGAACTCCATTGACACCCTCTATATGAACTCCATTAACTGAAATTGAGATGATAACATTCGACCTTCTCCTCGAGGAGATGATACCGTGGAAGAATTTTGAGTTCACATCTCTCTCCTTTAGTCAGAGTAATTTAGATTTTTACCATTGGATACTTGAATGTGATTCAGATAAATAAAAGATTTCTTCTGATAAAGAATGTAATTCTTCCAGCTCCTCCTCCTCTAAATCAAACTCTTCTCATCTAACTTCCAATAAAGAAATATGGTCTTTTACCGCTTTGATTTTGGCTTCTAGATCAAGTGTGTGATTATGATGCCATAATTTCAAACTACTCTTTATCAACTTCAATTTCTCTTTCAACACCAAACCTCCCCAACCATCCATCTGAAACGATAACCATTGATCTTTCACAAACTCCTTATAACTTGGTAAATCCGCCTAACATTTTAACATCCGCGTTGCCCTAGGACCCTAATTCTCTTCGTCAATAGTCATCATTACCGGACAATGATAAAAAATAGTGTGAGGAAGAGCCACCTGGATGCAATTCGGCCAAAAAGAAACTCAAGCATCCGATAATAAAAAACAATCCAGACGAATCATAGAAAAACCACCCAACTGATACCACGTGAATCTTTTCCCACACAACGGTAAATCAACCAGAAAATTGGCTTTAATGTATTGATTAAAATGAGTATAATCCTTCACCCGATCAATAGTTACCATATTCCTTCTTTCCTTAATCGATCAAATAACATTAAAATCATCATTCACACACCATGAGAGACCCCTATATACTAGTTGAAGATCAATTTAAACCTTAGAAATCATATCATTTCATTAGGACATATTTCAGATATGCATATCCAGACACGCATTATTTTTTACAAAATAAAGGTGAGTCCGAAGATATACATTCGTAAAAGCACATGTTTATTATTTTTTCGATTAAAATTAGGTTTGTGGAGATGCATATTCAGACACACCCTTTACAGAACCAATAAAACACACTGAAACAGAAAAATTGGGACATTGTCCAAAATATACCCCTAAATTCTATAACATTAAAGTAGAATAGACATTATGTATGTCGCAAATTTTATCGAGATTACATCATTGACAATATTACATACAAGAACGAGTTACATTGTTATATTAAAATTAAAATGTATCAAAGCACGTGTCATTACCTAAATCTATTGGTGGTTCCTTCTTTGATTTTTCCTTATTTGATTCTGTTTCATCGTCGCTCAACTTGGTGAACTATTCCATCCTTTTCAGAAAGTGATCCGGTCAAGTTTTAGCATCTTTGGTGAAATGTGTCATCCACTTCGGTAATGTCTTTGGTATATGATGATTTCAAATAAACCTGGATAAAATATTGTGTTTTTGAAAGACACCCAATACACATGATTCGTCAGGATGAATTTTAAGGTGACCTAATCCGAAATGGAACAAATATTTATGAGAAACCATATCTTGTCAGATCAATACACACCATATCATAAACACTTGCTATAAGATATCTCATTTCTAGGAAGCGCGTTCATTTGTCAAACAGTGTCAAACCACTAACAAAAGAAACAAGAGCATTGAGAATTGCATCGTAATTTTCTTTTGTCCTATATAGCTTTGCGTATGATTCTCTATGCCTCATCATCTCTTGTATAAGTTGAAGGCGAACAAGTTGGTGGTCCTCATCTCCTCTTGTATATCTAGAACAAATGAACCGAGTCCAGAGATGCATATCCAGACTCAACGTTCATTTTTTCAGTTAAAAAAACACATGAGGGATGCAATGAATGGACTTTACCTACAATTTCAGCTTCTTTTACTTCATTTGATGTGATAAAATACAAGAATGATATTTTGGTGTGGAAAAGTTGATTGAGAATGAGATAAATTTTTTAAGGGTTTTGAGAGTGAGATTCACTTTTAACATGAAAAATAAGATCATGCAAGGTGGTGTTTTATCTAATTTCCCGCTTGACATTTTCAGATATATATATCTCCGAAAACATCAATGAGTTGTTATTTACACCAGTTTAGTGAATAAAAACACCATAAATGAACACAATGAGTATTTTAGAGATGATTTTTGTATACACCTAAATAACATACGAATATACATTTCCTGATTATATTTTGTTCAAAATAAAATAGATATAAAAAAACAAAAAGCTTCTATAATTTTAAATGTGTACGAAAATATATCTCCAAAAAACATTAAAAACCATTTCAAAATTTCAAAGGTGTGGGGCGCACCCCTGACGGTGCAAAGAACATTTCTCTTCATTTTAAAAGTAAAAAGTTGCTAAAGTTCTTACAACTGTAGCGTCATAGTAAGACTCGTTAAGAATAAATTAATAACCTCAAGTCCACTATTGGAGTATCGGAGATGCTCTCAAATCTCAACTGCTAAAACAAATATCGAGACCAAAAACTAATGTACCAGCTGTACAATCATCATATTATTATACATTTATACTACAAGGATAATTTATAACATGTACTTTTGTTGGACACCTGGGAAACTTTCCTTATATAGTTTAAATTGCACCATCTCTTCAATCGAGTGTATTTATAATATTGACCTTATCAACTTCCTAGTTCCTTGTGATCCCCCAGTCTTCCACCTATTGCTCTCTCATTCATTCACATCCTTGTTATAGTCAATCATTCTTTCTAATTTAGTTACAACTTGCCAAAAAATTACCTCTTATCCACATTGAAAAGATATAAGGTCTTATAAAAATATATAGAGAGAGAGTGACATTCATTACCTTATAGTATTGGATAGGGAAATAGATATATTGAGAAAAACTCAAATCTCACATTAAAAAGAGACAAGACCTAAAAAGAGTTTATAAAGAGTCAAACTCTTTCTTCCGATCTAAAATCCTCTTATGATTTTTTCTTGCAATGACATCCAAAACATCCAACATGCTTTCTTCTCCTAACTCAAGTCTACAATGGACAACCAAGAAGAACAAACTGTTTGAAAATGCATTGGCAATATATGACAAGGAAACTTCTGACCGTTGGTACAATATAGCCATGTTTGTCGGAGGGACAACAACTGAAGTGGAAATCAAGAAGCAATATGAGATACTTCAAGAAGACATAAAAAATATCGAGTCAGGCAAAGTTCCCCTGCCTGCTTACTTGATGTAGCAAAGTAAAGATCAGCATTGAGTAGCGGACCAATCAAGTTCATGATGGCAATTTATAAGGTATACTCCACAATAAAGTAAAAACAAGATTACTATATAATATTTTCTGTTTGTTTTCTAACTGTGTTCTTTTTTGTTATAAGTTATATGCAGGCTAAGGAGCTTGGAACTCTACTGAACACCATTTTTCTGAAAAGGCATTTAACAGTTTGGAGAATTGACCAGTAACTCCTATTTTGTAATGTAACTCTTTTTCTTATTTGTCTGTAACTAACTTCTCTATGCATATAAGTCGCGAGCACGCCTCTTTTTATATAAAAAGAGATAAAAAAGCTCAGATAAACATTGTTGTAATGTAACTTTCTATTATGACAAAATTGAGTATTTAACTTCAAACAATTCATAAGAGGACTGAAGTTCTACAACCGAATGAGAAATTTGACGATGATTGATGAATAAGTTTACAATGCAAAGAACTACAGATACAAACTCCATGATAGTCACATGCAGCTGTAAATTACCACTTGAATTGTGTTTGTATACATTAATGACAATATAGTAAACCATGTGTTCCAAAAGCATTAGTATGTGTTATACTTATAAACTTACACAATACTCCTCTAATCTACTAATGATTCATAAAAGCGTTCTATTTCCTTATAGATGAATGAAGTTGTACTGAGTTTTCACCTTCGTTTATGCTTTCACTGTTTTCTCCAAAAACCTTTGATGCATTAAATATCTGTTTTAAACAATATGTCAGTTGTGAGCGTCACAGAGGCTTCATAGAGGTATACACTATCATAGTGTTATCAAATAGCAGGGATATAGCACTATAGTCTAGTGGAATTTGAACAAACTGTATTGTTCAAAGATATGCATTTTAGTACAAAATACGGTCAATAGTCAGATAGCAGTGTAGTATAGGGAAATTTGAACAAACTGTTATTTTTCCGCAATTGACAACACTGAGTCACGGTAGAAATATACCTTTTCGATTGTGTTTCTTAAGCATCTCCTGTGTTCATCAACAGATGCATGAATAAATTCATGAAAGTGATCTCTTAATTTAGACACAAAACTCCCATTCCCAGAGTTCTTTCTTTGGCAGAATGAGACATTTTGTGCCGGCTTCACTCCTAGTTTTTCATCAATCTGCTTGCTGTTTGAATCCATTCTTAACAAGATAACAACAACAACAAGAGTTAGTTAACTTCTTGGTTAGAATTAGATGCCACACCAAAGGTGTAATTGTTAATATGAAGAAGTCCTTCAAAGTTCAATCAGACATTTTTACAAACACTTTCCATGCACCCCTCTCTCTCTCACTCCTTTCCACACTTCAACGTTCTAACTTATCTATGAATTTTACATTTAGCATAAACAAATTGCTGAGAAATATTACACTCAATTCTCCTATTGATTACAGAAAAAAGAATCGTAAAAATCGTAGGAAAAAATTTAACAAGAGGAACAGTGAGAACTTACTTGGGTGTGATACACGCGCGCAAGAAAAATAGCAGTTATAGTAATCAATGGGAATTTTAAGTTACATATCACAAAGTAACGGGTCGGGTCAACTTGAGTCGAGTCGGGTCGAATTTTATGCAAACCCACCCACATCTTGAAAACCAAACAGCCACAAAAAAAACCCTCAAAAAATTTCACAGCCGTTGAGAGAGAGAAATGGCTCTGTCTCTGTCTCTGAGGTACCGTCGTGTAAAAGAAATTTCACGGTGGTTTCTTCAACCACTTGTCTACTACTCAGGTCTATTCTCAATGCTTCAAACCACTCTTACGTCTTTTTATATATATTATGTTCATCTTTTATGCTGTTGTTAAACTGTTTGATAAAATGCCGAGGAGGAATATTATGTCATGTAACAACATCATGATCAAGGCCTAAACATTGAGAATGCCAAGAAGCTGTTTGATGAAATGATGGCTTTTTATATATTCTACTCATTTTTTCTCAACTTCGACAATGTTTAATTTAATGCAGTTTCCTCAACCAATTTTTTTTCTTCATATTTTTAGGTGGTTGTTATAAGCAATATGGAAAAGGTTTAAGCTCAGTGCCATTTTCTCCTGAACAAATTGCTAATGGGACTTTACTGTCAGGGTTTCATCAACATAGGTAATTACTTTTTGAACTTTCAGCTTTTTCATTTATTTGGCGTGGTGGTAATTGTTTGGTTCATTCAAAGTTTCTGTGGTTGGACAACATTGCAAAGCAAATGAATGAATCATAGGAAAAAGCATATTTTTTATGTTTCAGGGATTATAAATGACAGAAATTTATTTAGGGACTTAAATTTCTGTTCATGATTTTCTCGCTGTGTTAGTTTTCCTGACTTCTGATTGACAGTCATATTCAGGTTCTCTACATTGGCGGATGTATCACATAAACATGCTCCTGAAGTTGATCTTTTGTCTTTTATAAAATCTTCTTTGGATGAACTTGAAGGTATTTGTTTCTTATCTATTTCATTTTGGTTATATGATCTTGATGGTGCTATTCGGTTGTAGCATAGCAGAATTTGAACAAACCGCTATTTTCCACAATTTGTGATTGGTAACATATTTTCAATCGAATGAGATGATTATTTGCTCAGTTTCACTTATCTGTTTTGAATGGTATGTAACTTTTTTTGTGTTAAAGTTAACATGGGTCCAATTATAAGACACATTGGTTACTGCATTTGGGATTTAATGAATTGAACAATACATCATCATTCCTATATTAAATATTCATTTTCTATTTGAAATTTTAGGCACCCATCATTATTGGTTAAACAGATCTGTTAAAAATAAACAATTTTTTGGCATTGATGGAATTCATGGATTTCATGGAACTTTTTTGGTTCTTGCTGCAAGAAATTTCGAGTGTGGCATTATGTTTCAAAAGTTGAAGGCAATTCAGGAAAGGTATATTATATGAAGGTTATTATTTCCATTCCTCCTAAACATGATACAATTAGTGATGGACTTTTCATGATAATTATAAAATATTTTGGTTGCAGGTTCCCTCATATTACTATTATGGGCTTTAAACTAAGTAATTCTTCTGATCGCGAGAACCTAATTCAGTTACTGGTGACAGAAAATATCACATTCCCTATTTTGTTGTCTCATAGGACATTTCCTCAGGTGTGTAAAATTCATTGTTAAGGTTTTGAAAGATATGACTTTTGATTTGATCCATGTATCCAAACCCGCCTAGCAGTTGTTTTTGTAGCTTTTGAAATACATAAATATGTGTTTGTATGTAGAGACTAATGTATCTACCATATAGAATGTTCTTTGTTTAGTTTGCTAAAATTTCCCCGCTGCTGCTATATATAATATAACAGAAGCCGAATCACAAAATAAAGGAAGAAAGACCAAATCACTAATTATTGATAATCAATAGAATACCTTTGCAATAGTAGGATAGTTAGAATACAACTCCATTACCCACAAAAAGATTGACCACAAAAAGTTAAGAGAAGTTATTACACAAAAGTTCTTGGACCAAATTTATCAAAGGCAGCTTGAGATGTTTGAAAAGTATATGATGAGATGATTTTGAATTTGCTTCAGGGATTATATCACTTTGCTTAATGCCAATTTATATACAACAATATTACAACAAGGATAACAAATTCTAGATACAATTTATTAGAGAAATAATTAGTGATAAATCAATTTCCAAAAGTGCATTAAATCTATTCTATCATACAATGAATCTTAGCTAAGTATACCATTCATTAACATTTATTGTAAATATATTTCCAGTAATGCTCTTGATCAGTTCGCGATGAGTTCGATCCTTGTTATCCCCATTCTTTAAAACAAGACTAATTGTTGACAATGTAGAGTTAGCTTGTGTAATGTTGATGTTCCAATTCAAAAAGCTCCTTATTAAAGAGCATGTTAGATTTAAAAGCATTTTTGAACCTTCTGCGCAAAATTGAAACAACTTAAGTTTCTACTTGGACAGTTGGTTGTGTCCTTAACAGTTTTCTGGTACTGAGTAACTGTCTTATTTCATGGTTATCAATTTACAAACATGCATTTGGTTTTATTGCCTATGTGTTATTTACAATAATTCTTTTGATATGTATAGATAAAGAATGGGGCTTGCTACATACTATTTGAAAGTTTTAAGAGCCCAATGACTTGTTATGAGAAGGACGTCAGTCTTGAAATTCTATCCCAAGGTAATGGCACATTTCAGCGTTGTATAGAGAATGGTCACTTGTCTGTTTTTCATATTTTTTGTGTATGAATTTACACTGCTTTTGACTTTGGCATCAAATGTAGCTATTCAAGGGTTACAGAAGCTACCAAGTGATCATTCTAAGTTGCTCAATGTCTTGAGATCTACATCTTGGAAGCAAGATATTATCACTAAGGATCAGTATATTTGTTCTCCTCTACAGAACTTACTTCTATTTTACCCAGGTAACCAAGAGGCCAATTAACATTTTTTTTCTGTATTTGTTCCACCTCCCAATTAGAAATAGCAGCCCTAGGTGCCACAAAATCTCACTGGGTTGCTGTTTGGAGTAGCTGTTGTCCACCAACCGTGGAAAGCCAGATAGAGGCTGCAACTGTGAAAATCTTGTAAAATTTTGAATTTTTTGGTCATTTCATACTTAAACAGCATTTTTTCTTTCAACTTATAGCCGTTGCTTTTTTCTTGTGGACTTTTTGGCCATTTCACCCAAAAATTCTGAATGATGACAAAATTGAGCCCTCTTTTCTTGTCTTCTCCTCTGAAACAGCTTCTTCACCCCCTCCCCATCTTTTGCGGATTTTCGAAAGTCTTTTTTCGTATCTTTTTTGGAAGCCATCCTCACGTTGGATATAGTGTTTCCATTAAAAATATCGCTTTTATTTATTTCATATGCTTTTGATAATTGGATATATGTCTTAATTGTGTACTCTTTTTTGTATTGTTTCCCCAAACTCTAATGTAGCAGTCATACTGATACCCGAAATTTGTATTGACTACATAGATATAAATATAAGTATGTGTAGACTGTTTAATACTTTAGACACCTAGTTTTCCTCTAACCATCTCTGATTCTGTTAAATTTTTATTGCCTAGACCATTCATTCTTTCCTAACATGGATATTCAAGTTAGTAGTCTATTAGATATCAAATATCATTTGGGTTAGGACATTGAGAAATTAAATTGCAAGATTTATAATAGATCATCATTATAATGTCTAAGAAAATTTGTATTGACTACATAGATATAAATATAAGTATGTGTAGACTGTTTAATACTTTAGACACCTAGTTTTCCTCTAACCATCTCCGATTCTGTTCAATTTTTATTGCCTAGACCATTCATTCTTTCCTAACATGGATATTCAAGTTAGTAGTCTATTAGATATCAAATATCATTTGGGTTAGGACATTGAGAAATTAAATTGCAAGATTTATAAGAGATAATCATTATACTGTCTAAGAAATAATTTATACTTCATGTTTCTGTTTTTTATTAACTAATTTGATATTTCTGTCATTTTTCCTACTTTACAGGCTGCGTCTCTGCAGATGAAAGTGCTAACCGTCTCTTCATTTCTGATTGCAATCATCACAGGATTATTGTATGTGATGGCAATGGGAAGATTATGGACTGTGTAAGTATACTAATTAATTATTTCCGATTCTTTATAATAATGTAAAAATAATGTAAAATTTGAAGGCTTAACTAATTCTTTGTAAGTTTGTTAAACTTATACAGGTTGGGTAGAAAGGAAACAGTTATTAACAGTCATTATTCAATCTGATAGATATTGATAACTGAATTCAAGAGATTGATTTTATTGAAAATAGATAGCCTTATAAATAGGCAGTACAGCAGAACAATTCAACAAAGCCATGAACTTAAAATCCCTAAAAACTAGCTACCCACTAAACAAACTAACAGCACTAACAACACCGGTAAAGGCCAAGTCTTTTAAACATATTAAAAAACAAATAACTAAATTAACCTAACAATCTCTCCCTTGAACTGAAACCCTTCAGCTTCAATTCACTAAGTCTCATTTAGTGTGCAAACTCCAAGTAACTTCCTGAAAGTAGGCAGTTTCAGTGGTTTGGTCATTATATCTGCAATCTGATCTTCACTCCTGCAGTAGAAGATATCGATTATACCTTCCTTTGTGTAATCCCTTAGAAAATGAAACCTCACATCTATGTGTTTGGTTCTTCCATATAAAACATGATTTTTAGAGAGTTTGATGGTAGAATCATTATCACAATAAATCACTACTGCCCCATCTTGCTTAAAGTACAGTTCTTCAAGAACTCTCTTGAGCCAAATGGCTTGGCAAGCACATGCTGTCAGAGCTACAAATTCAGCTTCAGTTGTTGATAAAGTGACAATTGGTTGCTTCTTAGAAGACCATGAAACAACAGCAGAGCCAAACATAAATACATATCCCGTAGTACTCTTTCGATCATCCACATCTTTTGCATAATCACTGTCACTAAACCCACACAGATCTGTCCTTTCTCCTTTCTTATAGAACAAACCAAAATTCTTAGTACCTTGAAGGTACCTGAGAATTCTTTTAGCAGCAAGAAGATGTGCCTCCCTTGGACGTTCCATATATCTATTGATTAAAGAAACAACATGCATTATGTCCGGTCGTGTGGCTGTCAAGTACATTAAACTGCCCACGATTCTTTTGTAAAGAATGTTGTCCACCTCTTTTCCTGTGGAATCTTTTGCCAATTTCAAACTAACCTCAATTGGTGTGTTGACAGCATTGCAATGCTTCATCTGGAACCTGTCCAAGACATCCTGCACATATTTCTTTTGACATAGAAATATTCCAGCATCGGATTGAACCGCTTCAATACCCAAAAAGTAGTGCATCATTCCAAGATCAGACATTTCAAACTCACACATCACGGATTGCTTGAAATTTTCAACCATGGCACTATCATTTCCAGTATAAATTAAATCATCCACATATAAGCAAGCAATGATCATCTTTGCCCCATCTCCAAACTTTGAAAACAACGTATGTTCATATGGACATTTTTTAAAACCCTCCTTTGAAAAATAAGCATCAATACGACTATATCACGCTCTTGGAGCTTGTTTTAATCCATATAGTGCCTTTTTTAATTTGTAAACTTTGTGCTCACTTCCAAATTTTACATATCCAGGAGGTTGATCAATAAATACCCGTTCTTCTAGCTCGCCGTGGAGAAACGCAAATTTTACATTCAATTGGTTAATAGGCCATGAATGTTGAGCGGCCAAAGAAATCACCAACCTGATTGTATCATGGCGTGCAACAGGAGCGAAAACCTCTTTATAATCGACAACATACTCTTGCTTGTAACCTTTTACGACCAATCGTGCCTTATATTTGTTGACTTCACCAGTTTCTTTCAGCTTCGTTTTGAAAACCCACTTAACACCAATGGTTTTTTGTCCTCTTGGAAGTTTTGTCAACTCCCAAGTATTATTCTTTTCAATAGACTCAATTTCAGCATCCATAGCTTTTTGCCATTTAGGCTCTTTGACAGCATCTTCAAAATCTACAGGATCACAATCTGCAAATAGTGAAAAATGAATTTGTGGATCCTCGGTAATGCCAGTTACCTCAAAGTCGGACATCCATGCAAGCCTTCTCCTACTACGTTGAGTTCGCCTCTTAGTTTCTTCAATTTCGCAATCTGGATTCGCATCAGAATTTGGAGAAATAGTGGAAGTAATCTGACTTGGTGTGGGTTGCTGGCTTTTTCCTCCTTCTTCTTCATCAAAATCAACTTGGACTTTCTGCTCAATGTTGTCATCACTTCATGGCCAGAACTTGCTTTCGTCAAAATTCACATCACAACTGATGATGATTTTCTTGGTGGATGGATTGTACAACTTATAGGCTTTTGATTGGTGGTTACTTACACCAAGAAATGTGCATTTTTCTCCTTTGTCATCTAGCTTTCTTCGTTTCTGGTCCGGAACATGAGCATATGCGATGCAGCCAAAAATTTTCAAATACTCAATACTTGGCTTGTGTCCATTCCATGCTTCTTCGGGTGTCATATTCTTGACAGCAAATGTGGGACTTCTGTTCAGCAAGTGAATGCTCCAGGTTACCGCCTCTGGCCAAAAACGTTTTGGCATTCCGCTCATCTTCAACATTGTTCGAACCATATTCATTATGGTTCTATTCTTCCTTTCTGAGATGCCATTTTGTTGTGGTGTGTAAGCTGTTGTAAGCTGCTTCCGGATTCCATGTGTCTCACAAAAATCTACATATTCTCGTGAGTTGTATTCACCACCACGATCGCTGCGTAGGATTTTAATTGACATCTCCGCTTCGTTTTCAGCAAGCGCCTTGAATTGTTTGAAGACGGATAGAGCTTCAGATTTTTCCTGCAAAATATAAACCCATGTTTTCCGACTAAATTCATCAATAAACGTTATGAAGTAACGTTTACCGCCATTTGAGGTTGGAGTGATTGGCCCGCAGATGTCAGAATGAATCAGCTCAAAGACTTGTTTTGCTCTCCGTGATTTTCCTACTGGAAAAGTTTCTCGATGTTGCTTTCCAACAACACATTCTTCACAAACTTGGGATGGTCTTTGAAACAGTAGCAGACCTTTCACCATATTCTTCTGTTGGAGAGTTTGCAATCCTCCAAAGCTCAAATGACCATAGCGAAAATGCCATAGCCATGACTCATCTTTCAATTCCACTAAAAGACTAATTTGACAAGTGTTTCGGAAATGTAGCGGGAACATGTGATTTGATGTCATGTTTATTTCAGCAACCAAGCCCTTTTCTTTGTTCTGGATACAACACACCCCATCTTTGATATTAATCTCAAATCCCTTCTCCTGGAGTTGTCCAACACTAAGAAGATTAGTTTTTAAATCAGGGGCAAAGTAAACATTATCAATACAATGTTTTGTGTTGTCTTTTGTATATATTTTGACATTTCCTTTGCCAATGATTGAAACTGTAGAGTTATCTCCAAACTTTATAGTGCTTCGGAATGATTCATCCAAGTCTGAAAACAACGATTTATCCCCGCACAAGTGGTTGCTGCAGCCTGTGTCTAAGTACCACATACTTCCATGGATTTTCTCCTCCTTGTGACATGCCATCAAGAGAGAAATATCTTCTTCCTTTTCTTCCGCATAGTTAGACTTCTGACCACGATCATGATGCACTTTGGTTCTGCACTCAGACTTGTAGTGACCATATCTGTGACATCGAAAATATTCAACATTGGACTTGTCATTATTTGTCTTGTTGCCTCTGAATTGACGGTAGTTGTTACCCTTTCGCGTATCTGATGCATAATCCTCATCTGATTTGTGATATGGATTCTTGTCCTTCCACTTCCCTTTTCCTCTATTGGAACTTTTAAAGGTTGAAGCCTTCAAAGCTTGTTCCTCAGTATCCTGCTGGATGATTTTTTGCTCATGAACCGACAAGGAACTTTGCAACTCATCAAGTGTCAGTTCATCAATGTTTTTTGATTCTTCAATAGAGCAGACAACAAAATTGAATTTGGGCGTCATTGACCGAAGAATCTTCTCTACAATCTTCACGTCCTCCATTTTTTCTCCATGAACTCTCATTTTGTTAGTCACTGCCATGGTTCTACACAAATAATCAGCGACAGGTTCACCTGTTTTCATTTGCAAAGTTTCGAATTCTGTTTGAAGTGCTTGCAGTTGCACACGCTTTGCCCTTGCATTTCCCATATACCTTCTTTTCATAGAGTCCCAAATCTACTTGGAGGAGTCTTTGCAAAGAATCGTCTCCAAGGTTGCTCGATCAATGGCTTGAAAGAGGTAATTCTTTGCCTTCAAGTCCTTTAACTTCAAAGCTTCTCTTTCTGCTTTTTGTGCATTAGTCAATGCAGCTTCATCTCCTATCTCTGGTACTCCAGATTCCACAACCTGCCAATACTCCTTGGACCTCAAGGAATTTTCCATGAGCATGCTCCAATGGTCATAGTGACCATCAAAGCGGGGGATAGCAGCTTGCACAAAGCTATTGTCGGAAGCCATGTGTGCTAAAAGAAAAAAACAACTCTGCAATTTCTTGGTTCTCTCCCTCACAGTGTTTCTCTCTCAGTGCACTCCCTTTCACGTAACCTAGCTCTTGATACCACTGATAGATATTGATAACTGAATTCAAGAGATTGATTTTATTGAAAATAGATAACCTTATAAATAGGCAGTACAGCAGAACAACTCAACAAAGCCACAAACTTAAAATCCCTAAAAACTAGCTACCCACTAAACAAACTAACAGCATTAACAACACCTGTAAAGACCAAGTCTTATAAACATATTAATAAACAAATAATTAAATTAACCTAACAATCTATATGAAATGAAAAGCAACTGTCTGTTTCATTTCATGACATTTTATCAATGAAATTTATCATCTTTCTTTCATGACATGATATTTAGCATTCTTTCTTCATCTTTGAAGAATTCTAATATTGTATTGGAGAATAGGTTATTGGTTAAGACATCAGGTCAAATATATCCTTACAGAAATAGTTCATATTTGGCCCCAAGATTTCACTAAGCAAGAGATAGGATGAAACTCAAATTATACACAATCATCTCTAACCAATTTACTAATGCTAACTAACTTTTCGGTAATAGAAGGAACATGATGACGATTGTTTTTGACAAGTTTTCTGTTGAGATTGATTAGGGAGAATTTTTTTGTAGAGCCTTAGGCATTTATAGACAAATGTATGGCCAACAAAAATAAGATCAGTCTCTTCAACGGAGTTCCTGTTATGAATGTTTTGAGCATTATTTGCACATGGTGAGATGCACCACTGTCAATAATTGAATAATCCAGTTTTAAGAAGCTTTCACTATCCACCAAAACCAACACAGATTTTAGCTTTTCATCGGGTGGGTCGCAGTCTAGTTTAGAAGCCTATCGTCTTGCATTTGTTATATTGGAAAATATTAGTCAGTAATGGTTATTTTACTCTATAGCATTCCAACCTTGGACCTTTAGCTTAAAACTTCTAAGGTATCCCTTAGCTCACCAAAGAAGCCAATCGTCTTGCTTTTACAGCCCTTTGGCTATGTGTTTGATTAAACGAGCAAGTATGTCATTCCTATCCCAACTTTGTGCTCCACACAAGATGGTTTACATCAAGCCCTTCATCTTCTCCAATTAGCTCCACCAGTTAGGGGTTTTTTAGTTTCCAAGGCTCCAACCTTGGACCTCTAGCTTAAAACTCCTTTCGTGTTCCTTAGCTCAATGTCGTGTCCGATTTTAATTACCTTGCTTATAAATGTGTTCCACCTATACCCGCGGTAACCATTTTTGAATGTTTTTGTTTCATTCTATTTAACTGCTTTGTTGCTGGCCTTTTGTTTACTAACATTTAATTGAAGACATATATATGCATTAGTTTAGTTCATGAATTTGAAGTGTCCTTTCTTTTACAATTAGCTGTTGGACTTTTCTTTTACCTTATATGCATTTGTTTATGTAATATGATAAAAGACATGAACCTTTTTCTTTTTTAATTATTGGTATCTAAATAAAATAATGAAACTAACACTTTACATTTATACTTTCGCGTCTCTTCTTCAGATTGGCTCTACCCCAGGACTTGAAGATGGCGATTTTGAATCTGCTAAATTAAGGCGTCCGGCTGGTTCATATTACAATGCTACTGAGGATTGCTTATATTTTTTGGATTCAGAGGTACTCCCTCCGGTCACTATTATAAACAAAAAAAAAAGACCTTAAATCTTGGTCACTATTATAAGCAAAAGTCATTAACTTTTAGACTAATTGATGCTTGTATTACTATTATACCCTTAATTTAATTCAAAAACATTTAATGTTGGTAGTTGATTCATCAAATATAACTAAGGATGTTATAGTAAATTTAATTTTGATTGTACATGAAATCCAGAAAATTTATTACACTTACCTAATTTTCTTAATCAGTGTGAAAGTAGTTATTTTGGCTTATAATTGTGACTGGAGGGAGTATGCGTTTGGATTTATACAATAATTATCAACAGATTTCAAGCCAGCTGTCTCATTTGATGAGAATTTTATGTACATCAATTTGAATATCATATATTTACTTGTATCTCTAGCAAGGCTGCTACTTGAACCAGCAGTGGTTGACGTCTCGGTCTTTCTCCATCAGTCCTTGCTTGTTTCTGAATCTTATGTGTTCTTATATGCGTTCTGAATCTTTATGTGTTCTTATATGCGTTCTGAATCAGCATTGATTGGCATCCCAGTCTTTCTCTATTGGTCCTTGTTTCTGATCATAAGTTTACTCACATTTTATATTTTCTCCTCCAAATCCCAGTCTTTTCTCAGTCACTCAGTGTGTCGTTCTTAATCAAACCATGTAATGCTCTATACATGAAGGAGCTCTGACACCATTTGATAGAAACCAGTTCTAATTACGGAAGAAAAGGGGGGAAGGACTTTGTTGAACTAGTAGTTCTTACTAGATTTTATAATGGAGTGTGTGGGCCATAATGGATGCTACTTTTATCTTAACTTGTTTGTCCGCAGTAAAAAAATGTTGATTATTTATTTGATTTGAGTTTCCTCTTTCTTTTTCTGGATTTACTAGCAAATTTATATACCTTTTTTTCTTGATAGATTTATCCCTTATCATTGATTTTATTCTCTTGCTTTTTTTAAGAACCATGCTATTCGGAGAGCGGACATGGAAGCACGTTTAGTACAAACTCTTTATCCGACAAGCACTGTTAAAAAAGGAGGAATATGGAACAGGATCATGAGTAAGCTTGGTCTAGAAAGCAGTGTGGACACCAATGAAGAGGAAAAACCTGAAGTATTTGATTCTAAATCATTATATTTCCCTTGGCATCTGTTGAAATTAGATGATGACACTCTCTATATTATAGATCGCAGGTGAGTGATTCAGTGCATTTAACATTTTTTGGTACATATTTACACCTCATCCCCCTCCCCCTCCCCCTCCCCCTACTTGGTCTAGATCATATATCTCAATGTACATGGTTCAAGTTGTGATACTGGGCCCCTTTGATATATATCATCTGTAATTCCAGGTTTCAAACTTTATGGACCATGGATTTAGGTTCAGGAAAAGTAGACGGAGTTTTCGAAGGTTTGATTTGTATTAGTTACATGATCACAAAAAAAAAATCTTGTATCTGGCTATAGCTTATGAAATTTCTTTAACATTTATTATTTAAAAGCAGGTTCTCCTAATATTGTTGAGAAATGCGGCCAGCTAATCAGACAAAATTTATCGATCTTAGATAAGACTCCCTGTGACCAGTTTCAACAGAAAACTAATGATGTGTGTGCGCTTGATGGCCTACCACATTCGGTTCCTTTATCTTCATTGACAACCTTGCAGAATCACATGTTCATTTGTGATAAGGGTAATCCTTTTCTCCGTTCTTCAATGTTTTCTTGTGTAAATTCAATTTTAGAAATTGTTCACTCCTACTTTCTTATCTCACTAGTTCGACAGAGGATTCTGAAGATCAATATTGAATCCGGGGTCTGTTTGGACTTCCAGTTATCTAATTTAGGGTTACTTGGATTTCCTTATTGGTTGAATTCCCCTCCGGAGTTGTTTTATGCCAGGTAGGTATATGGGTTCTTTTATTCCCAAACTCTTCATTTTTGTTTGTATACATTATAATTTATATGTTGAATATGTTTCCTAAGAAACATACTAACTTTTCAATCATGTTACAGTGGAAATGGACTTTCAGATACAGCAATTAATCATCTGGAACATTTTGATTTGCCACCAGGTCAATTTATTACATTCTAGAATTTGGTATTTTCTTGTTTGAACATTTGGGAAATGCTTTGCGTGGATTTATCTCACTGGACTTGTTTATACATCAAGGACCATCGGCTGCATGCACTGTCCTGAAATCTTTTAGATTCTCTGTTTTGTACCTAAAATTGGGTGTACTTCATCGCAAACTATTACTTCTGAAGTAGTATCTGTTTTGAACTCAAACTTCTGTGCCATTTGTCACAGGTAAGATTGACATAAAGTTGAGTGTAGATGTTCCTTCAGAGTTTGAGCTTGTAGAGCCATTACAAGAATCCTGTATATGGCGCCAAGCAAGAGGTTCAGCTACTGAAATCTCTGGAATGGATGATCCACAATCCATAGAGAAGGTCCTTTTGCAAATGGAAACTTTCTTTAGTTTTGCCTGGTTATTCATTTTCACTCAGTCCCAAACTTGGTGCAGGTTGGGGTTGCACAACAGTGGTACAACGAATTGGATTATGTTGCAACTCTAAAACCCGAACCTGAAATGATTGGAGATGATAATAACCTGGATGAAAATATAGCTGTGGAAGAAGATGGGAAAGTTTGGATTACTAGTACTATCCTCACTAGCCCCGGAACAAGCGAGGTATGCTTTCAATGATGGTCTTTGTTTTGTTCTTTAGGTCTAAAGATTGTTGATACTAAAAATACTATATTTTTAATTTGACGCAGGTTGTTATTTTTGCTGTACTGTATTGTAAACTTAGAAAAATTTCAAACTCTAATGATGGCAACCAAGAGAAATATGCAGCAAGGATTCTTGATTTTTTGAGCTCAAAGAGATCTGGTAAAAGCGAGAGAGATTCATGGAATACATTTCTATTGCAATCTAAAGGCGATTTAAGAGATCTTATTTTCACAAAACTGGTACATGTCAGAGTAAGATTAAATTGTTCTGAACATCCTAAGACTGAAAATGGAAGGGATTTCATCCTAACAGACAACTCAATTAAAGTGAATGTGTTGCTCAATTAACAGATAGATTTTAGGAACACGTTAGTGTCCTGTGTTTTATTCTTTTGACTGTATAATCTAGTTGGTATTTAGCAACTTTTTGCACCATTGTTTCAAGAGTAATAGCTAAATTCTTATGAAAGATATTTTATTCGTTTTGAATAAAAAAATTGTTTTTCTTCTGGAATTTCTGTACCAAGGATGTTAATTTGTATAAGAACTACAGTATCTTGTGAAACAAGATGTGAAATGGTCTCTTTGGTTATATTTTTGAGACTATTTCTTTGACAAGTTGTAATGTTTCGACATATATTGATTGATATACAGCGTTATTCATCCTATCCATGTTTTTAATAAATCCTATTATCTCTTACGCTATTTTAATATGTTTTTAATTTGTGACTAATAAACTATATAAATTCAACTATTCTTTCTATAAAAATAATTAAATTATTTTAATGACAGCATCCTGATTATTATATTATATGTGAACATATCATTAACCTAAATAGCATACTGAATATACCTTTAACGTATTTAATGGGCGCCATCTCCAATTCTTGCAGGAGTGCATGAAAGTGATGTGTAATACTAATAACATTCTAAATTTGTATGTTACTTAGAAACAAATTGCAAAATAGTGTAATATCCTTAGTTAGATGTCTAAAATAATAATGTGTTAAATATCTTTTTGTCTTAATAAATATTTTAAATTTTATTTTTTAATCTCTATTAAAAAATGATATATTTCAGTCTCTAAAAATTTTATTCATGCAGTTTTTCATACATGTTTATAATATTATAAAATATTTATTTATTAAATTTTAGAATTTTTTAAAATGAGATGAATTAAATATGAATTTTTTAAATATAAAAAAATATTGATGAAAGTAATGAAAATCTCGACTTTAAAATTAAATTTTGAGTTTTTTTATTTTTTCAAAAAACTTTTTATAACGTTCTAAACATGTAAGTAAAATAATCATTTAAAAATATATATCAGTTTAACAGGAATGACTAAAATAATAATTTTACAGAAACTAAAACATATTATATTTTTTTATAAAGAGAAAAAACAAAATTTAATAATTTATAAGAATCAAAGTTATATTAATAATTTATAATATTAAAAATTTGATATAGTATACATTAGATACATTCGAGTATGAGATGACTAACTAAATTTTTTTGAATACTATCTGACACAACACATAAACACAGCGGAAACATCATATAGAGGATCTTTAATATCAAGTCTTCAGATTTAGATTCTTTGCAGTATTTTACCTGCTGCTTCTATTAAGCCATCATCTTAGCCATTCATTTATCTTTTTTCTCAATTTTTAAAGCAAAATCTTTTCATTTAAATTATGTTTATCAATTTTCATCCACTAGATAAAACATGAGAGGATGGTTGAAGAGAATGCCTGGAGATGATCTTTTTCTCAAGTGAGAAGAAATATTTATCTTAGTGGGTTTCTAATCTAAACCAATGAAACTCTCACTATCTTTCTATCTGGTTCAAGCTACAACTTGTATAATTCAGTAGAGCAACTCACATGCCCCAAACCAACTTCTAGGATAATACATCCCTAGCTACTCTAAAAGTTCACCCATTACTTTGAAGGAGTTTCCTCTTTATGAGTATACATTCCAATCTTGTAACCAACAAGATAACCACAGATCCCGATCTTATAAAGAATGTTTTGGCCACCATATTTTTGAACATGCGACTCCACCCTATTTAAAATTAAATTATTTTTTAAATAAGAGTTCAAAAACATTTTAAGGAAAGTGTTTGAATATTTCTGTGGAACAACAAGGTAAGGAAAATATATGAAAAGTATAGAGGTTCGATCTAAAAGAAGTGATTTAATCCTCTTCCCAAGACTTGATCTTGAGAGCATTCATTAATGCTTATAAATTTTTAGTAGGTTAAGCTTGCGAACCACCTTGTACAAGGAAAATAAAGTTTCAGGTTAAGTTTCAACTACGAACAAAGCTTTGAGCGGTTAGTCGCCAAGCTAAACCGAGATTTTATAAGGATTATATCGAACCAATGTGGAGTTTTGAAATGAATATCCTCTTAACCTAATAGGGATTTTACCCGGGCTGACCATAAATTGAATCGAGATTTTACACCAGGCTAATCTCAAATCAAAAAGAGTTTTTACACCAGACTGAACTCAAGAATGGAAGATAAGATATTTCATTGGTTATCTTCAAGAATCCTAAAAGAGATTTTTTTTTCTTAAGTGGCTCAGCTCATGAACCAAACGACAACTTAAGACTAAATCCCCCAAACAAAGATTTTAACGGGTTTAGCTTCGAACCCAAACAATTACTTCTAAAGAAGAGATATTCACTCAATAGAAAAAGGAGATTTTAGTGAATTTACTAATTTACCCTTTCTAGAACAAATTTCTTTAAATAAACACAGAGATTTTCTCAAAGCGTTATGGCTAAATTAAAATGAGAGAAAGTATCAAATATTTTAGAGAGAGTAAAGAGAGTGAAATAGCTCACGATTCTGAATGTTTAAAAGTGAAAGGACAAACCTCTATTTATAGGCTAAAGGTTGGCACAAAAAAGGAAAGGATTCTTGAGCCAAATTAATAGTCCAATCAATTGTATCCTTTTGCCAATCGATTGGATGCTTCAAAAAGTTATTTATAATTGGCCATTTTGGAAAGATTTGATAGAGTCATTTCCCGTCACTTACTATAATCGATTATGGGTGCCATTTTCTTTTATCCAATCGATTGAGAATATTCTTCAATCAATTGAACAGTTTAAAATACTTTTCCTAATCATTTTGACGGTTTCCAGTTCATCTGGAACGACCCTTAAACATCTTTAGGTTGGTTTATTTGAGAAATATTGGATTCAAAAATATTTTTAGTGAGTCTGTGATTTAGCTATATTACTTTATAGAAACACCCTCGTATTTTTATAAAACGGTGATCACTCAGACACAATCAGACGAGTTTTTACACTTTCTCTCTTTCACACTCTGAAGATTCAAGAATTTGACAAATACACCAATAATATATACACTTTCTTGAGTAATCTTGGAGATGATGCTTGATATACTTGTTTGGCTTTATGCTTTAAGGTCATAATATATCTCCACAAGTTGGCATCAAAGTTTGTATCTTCACATGTTGTCATCATCAAAACAAAAACATGATAGGCATGACGCTCATGATCATTTGATTAAACTTGCAAGCACACAATTCCATATTTTCTACTTTTTAATGATGACAACACGTCTCTAAAGTATATAATTAAAGAAACAATAGGTGGATAAAATTGGAGTGTTTAAACTTCCCCCTTAATTGGTTAAAGAGTATATTATACTCCCCTTGAGAGTATACTTCTCCTTTGTCATAATCAAAAAGACGGGTAAAGATGCAAGGAGAATATGTAAATATGATAACACATAGTCACATAAGCATTTAGAAAGGGGAAATAACACACTTAATTGACTTAAAAATACTGGAATTCAAAGTATAGAAAGCAGGAAAATTTTAGGAATTGGAACAATGCAAAAACTGAAAAGCAAACACACTTAAAGACTGATCGTACCTGATCAGAAGGGATTCTCAAAGTCCACAAGCTTCAAGTCGAGCAACAGTTGGATGTGAAGTGGCATGGGTACCCACAAGATACTCTGATGCCAAAGTAAGGTTCAGGGTGAGTTCTAGCAAGTATGAGAGTATGAGTAAGTGTATGAATACTTGTCTCTCTTAATTGAGAGAGTATTTATAGCCCCTAGCAATGGGCCAAGATCCCTATTGTTGGGCTGAGCAAGCAGACCCAAAATGGAGACTTCTAGATCCTACGTACGTAGTAGGGACCAACATGTTGTCCCCAACCTAGATGGATTCCTCCGAACTATCAGGAGGATATGGATGCGGTCTTTCCGGGGTCAAGAAGACTCCTTGACATTCGGAGGTGTTGAATGTCATCCCTACGAGGAGGATGCTCGCGAGGTCCTCCTGACCGTCGTTAGTCCTCCTCGCCAGTTGTGAGGTTGTCCTCAGAGGACTTATCTTAGTCAATGAGAAGAGTGGAGGATGCTCGTGAGGTCCTTCTGACTGTCGTTGGTCCTCCTCGGCATTCATGGGTTTATCCCCGTAGGATAAAGCTTGGTCAACCAGAAGAGTGGAATCACTGCCCGACATGGTCGAGGGAAGACTCTTTCCTACTGGCCTTCTCATGCAGCATAGTTGGATTGGGCCTTGCATAATGTTTGGGCCAAGTGCAGGCCCAGTCCATAACAGGAACCCCCCAAGTCGTTTCTCCTGGAGAAAAAGGAGTTATGACTTAAGACCAACTTCTACGTATAGTGAGCACAGTTTAGCCGGGGTTTTTCACCGCGTCGAAGGATGGGGTCCTTTTTATGCGTGATTACTTGAGCAGAGGTTGGAATTTGTTTCAAGGAGAACATTTCAGTTGCTCCTCGACTCGCTGGGAGACGGAATTCAGAGTAGTCTACCTCGTAAGCTACGTGGTATAACTTTTGGTTGTGACCATTTGAATAGAGTTTGGAGTTCACGCACTGAGAAAGTTTATCTACTCCTCAACTTACGGGGAGACGAAAGTTCACAGAATGCAGCTACGTGGTGTAGCCTTTGGAATAGAATGATGCCCTAGAGAGTATGGGTCATTATGACCCTGAGCGCATAGGTGGCGAGGAGATGGGCGATTGGTGTGTTATTCGACGCGACGCTTTGTCTTTCGTGCCAGCCTTACAAATAGTGCCTAAGGGTTCATTTGCAACATTTCCAATTCTCGCTCTCTCTCCTCTCTCCCAATCGCCTTTGGATTTATGTCATCTTCTATCTCCTTCTCCAACCGCAAACACCGCCACAACCTCCACCGCGGACTCCCCACCAACTTTGATCAAGTAAGTGTTTTACAGTAATTATTGTCATTTACACTTGGTTGTATTGATAAATCTTTGATGAATTTCACTACCCGGGGGATTTTTGCTTGGGATATTCATACATCTCTTC